ATTTCCCTGGGTTAGCTTGTTGGTTTGTTAGTATGTGAAAATAACTGCAACTGAGTCTGATGCAAGAAAGAGATGAGAATGTAAGTGGTCATTTTTCAAAATAAAATAGCAGGCACGCATCTATAAAAATATTTATGATGATAGTTTTTCAGGGAAAAGTTTTATTAATTTTGTGCGACCTGGTACCAAATGATCCATGGATCTGTATTGCTAATTAGCCCTGTGGTTGGGGACTTGGGCTCTAGAACCTTCATTGCCACTTTTTTTTTTTAATTAAGTGAAAGTATCAAGAGTTTATTTTAAGAGTGAACAAACCTTTATGCGTTTTTCAGCCTCCAGTATTTTGGCGTTAGCGGCTTCTTCCTTCTTTTTCCGTTTAGCCTATGAATAAAGATTACGGTCAGTCGCAGACAGATATCAATCCGTCTTGGCTGAGGGCTTTGTTGCACTTAAAGTGATTGTTCTGAGCAGATTCCATGCTCCTGAATGCAAGTCAAATTTGTAAAACACACAAAATGAATAATGTATCTCTTTAACACGTAATTGTGAAAACGTTGAAGTGCGGCTCGTCGACCGTGTCAACTCAAAATTGATGTAGTCCTGTTAAAACACTTTGAAGCTGCTGCAGTGTAATGGTGTGTATATGCACATGTATGTGTGAGTTTATGAGTGGAAAATAGTGTTTCTTTTTTCCTTGACCCACTTATGCTAAACTGTTACTGTTGTCTGATGAAAAAAAGAGTTTTCTGTCCAATTTAAATAAGGTCTGAAGAGGCAGCAGCATCCATTTTAATATTCAACAGCCGTCAACCAAGACCAATTTAGCATTAGTTCCATGTGGAATTATGCCTAAGAAGACACAACTCCCTCCAAAGCATGCTGCTGTTCAGTAATGAGCTTTAGGAAGATTAAAAACACTATAGACTGAGGGGCTGGAGCTATCCAGGAACGCTGCGCTTAATCAGAGGTGCTGCCGGATCAAATTCTCTACCTCCAAAATCTGCTGCGCTCTCAGTTCCTTCTCCATGCGAATCTGCTGAATGCGCTTGATCTTTTCCTGTAAGAAAAAAAAAATCTTTTAATATTTTAAGATATGGGAAAACACCCACAGATAGATTTACTGTGTTCCCAAAAGAGGAGGCATAAAGATACAGCGAAGTTCAGAGAGTGGCTGCGTTAATTAAAAAGTTGGATGACAAAATAATCATTTACAGGATGTTTCTGAGGTGAAATATTTGGAATAATTGTCCAGTAAAAACACCAACCTGCTGCTTGAGGATCTTGATCTGCTCTTTTTGCTTTCTTCTCTCTTCTGCTGCCATGATCGCTGCAAGACACCAGTCGGATTTTTATTTAGTGTCTAAATTTAAGTACCTGAAACAGCTGCTCAAAGACCTGAGTTGTTTAAGATTTTATCACATCTCATCCAGACCACGTTAACCTCCTGAACAGCAGGAAAAATACTGTAATTATCTGACCTCCTGCCGTTTTGTACGTTTGCTCGTTTGCAAACTAATCATCAGTATCTCATTTTATGGTGATTTCGTTGTAATGGAGAGAGACAGAATATCAAACAAAAGTCCAGAAGAAAACACAGTATGTAAAAATATACACAGTTTGATCTCCAAGTACAACGTGACTCGGTACTTGTGGAGAAATCGTTGTTTGTAAGACGGCTCTTCTAGCTGAGCTCCAGGTTCGCTCGCATCTCATCAAGGATTTTCAGAAAAGATTAGGAGACGTAAACAGAAAAGGTACGATGAAGTAAATTTCAAAGAAAAACTTTCAGAGGGATTGTAAAAGATTGCGATGCATTTCAATGAAACAACTGTTTCCAACAGCATACGCACATTTTTCACTCGTCGACAAACTAAATATTACAGCGATTTATAGCAATAACAAGCAAAGACCTTGTATAATAATTGACCTTGATTTGTAACCTTGACCTTGGAGCTGGGGTGATTAAAAACGTACGTGGCATCTAGTGATGGAACATATATGCATCAAGTTGAGTTAAAATATCTCTAGTGGATCAGAGGTGGGACCAGAGAAAGGCGTATAAAAAAAGTCTGAATGTTAGAACAGCTAAAAGTCCCAGCCGAAATGTCCTGAACGAGCTGAACGTCTAAAGGTGCAAACTATAAACTTGAAAGAACAGTTAAACTAATAAAACAAGTCAAAAAGCAGCACTGATGTGAAAAAAAAAAAGCAGAAAGGACCGGCTCGTTTGGATCAGAGCGGTTCCAGGTGACAGACTGACCGACAGAACCTGCAGGTTGACAGCTCGGAGCTCACCTTGCTGCCTGCGAGCTTCTTTGGCTGCACGGGCCAACGCCTGCTTTTCCAGTTTCCTCATGAGTTTCATCTGAGCGGCCTGGCGGGCGATTTCTCCACAAAGAAAGAAAGAACGCCATTGTGAGTGAAAAACGACATGGAACTAGCAAAACTCTCCTGGAATCTGTTCATGAACCGCCGTCAGAGGAAACAGGAAGTCCACGCTCTGTCAGCTCTAAGGTTTTAGGATGTAAAACCTGACCCAGTCTTCATCAGGTTGTACAACGATCCAACTCTGACCTCAAGTGAACAAGCAGCAGAACAGTAGCCAAAAGTTAAAATGAGCAAAACAGTAGCTAACAGCTAAAGCAAGATAAACAGTAGCTAAAAGCTTAAACCAGCAAAACGACAACTAAAAGATAAAATTAGCAAAATAAATAAATAGCAGTCAAATCTACAATTATTACAATAATAGCTAGAAGCTAAAATAAATAAATAAATATGAATTAATTAATTAAAAAACTGCCGCTAAACCCTACCAGCAGAACAGTGGCTAAAAGCTACATTTAGCAAAGCTGGAGCTAAAGCCAAAATTGACCAAAACACAATATTTAAAAGCTAAAATTTGCTACAATTTGAAATGCCCATTTATTTTAATAAAACTAAAAATATAAATAAAGTTAAATATTTTGAAAAGTTGCTCCTTGTCAATCTGTGAAAGGTCAAAGGTCATTCAGAGTCCATCGTTCTACAGAGAGAAAGATTATTCACACGTGGAAAACATTTAAGATGGCTGACAGTCTTCTCAGCAGATTCACCCTGAAGGTCAGACCGTGCAGTGACTCTACAGGCCTCAGTTAGCAGGTCAAAGGTCATGACCTCTACTCTCTAAAAACAATATGGCAGCTTGACTTAGGTTTGGAAAGTTTCATCTGAAGGAACCACAAGACTTCTGGACCAGAAACAGACAAAAGGACAGATGTTTACCCAGAATGCACTGCAGCAAACAGCTCCTCCCAGCTGTCAGCACGGTGGTGGAGGGCTGATGGTTTGGGATCCTTCGATCACTGAGTGAACCATGACTTTTATTGTGTCCTAAAACCCAAGAACTGACAGATGGTGGACTTCCTGTTTCTAACAAACAGCTGTTTTAAATAAAACCTCGGAGCCGTATCTTCCACCTCCACCTGCATGAATAACGCTGACGAAAACCTTCTGTCCCTCACCTTGAGCTTCCAGCTTGCGCAGAAGTTTGACCTCGCTGGGGCTGGGGGCTTCGGGCACGAGCGGGTCGCCCACATTTGGGGGTCGCCCCTTCCTCCGTCGGTTCCCTTTGGCGCTGTCGCCCGACAGGTGCCGCTCGGAGTTCGGAGGGCGACCCCTGCGACCCTCCATGGCTAGAATCCGAGGAACCATCTCGTCCTCCTTCAGCAGGGTCCACTGCAAACCCTGACACGGAAAAACAAGTTGAGAGGGAGAGATGTGGAGGATGAGAGGTAACTGCAGGTAAGATTTAAAAATATATGTAATTGAGCTTTAAGGTCTGGTGGCTAGACGCCAATCTGGTACAGATTAATATAAACACAGTTTAGTGTTAATAACTTACATATATATATAATATTATATATATATAATATCTTATATATTTGTAACTTTAGCTAAAACAAACAAATTCAGGCAGAAATTACAATCGTACAAATCTGTTGTTTAGTAAATTTGTAACATTGTGCAGTATTTTGGGCTTCTATATATTTCCTAGTTATTCTCTTCATTTCACAAACAAATAGTACTGTGCAAAAATCTTCAGCCACAGAGTATTTCTGTACATTTTGGTTCTAATGAGCCAGACTCTTAAATGGTCTTAAGAAAAAGTTCTGCAGGCTTTTTGGAGGACGTTTCTCTTTAGGACTTTGGCCTCGTTTTTATTAAAACAAAGTGTATCTCAGCATAATGTAAAGTATCTAGAGCAGATAAAGAGGACGTAACCAAGTCCCTCAAAAACAGAAAAAAATAACCAGCAAAGACTTGATGACCAGAACCTGAGACACATCTTCATGGATGGACTAGAAATAAGATCAAACACAGCCACTGAAGGTCTACATTACTGGAAACATAATCAAATTAAACAAGCGGTACGTCGACGTCCCTCGTCGCTGAGGGGTTTGAATAGTAAATGTTTGTAGTTTTTGAGATGAGTGTTTTTCTGGA